ATTTTGATGGATCATTTGCAAGTCAAGCAATTAGCGTCTGTTGATGCATCATCAATCGATTTGAGAGCTGTATTGATTAGGCCATCCCGTGTTAGTATTATTGGCATGGGGTCATTAGCTAGGTTTCCATTCTATTGGACACAGATTTTCATACAAATATTCTAAAATCTGCATAAAAACAATGTGCGCATTTTCGCACCAAAGGTGTGTTCCCATCAAACAGATTTGTTCTGGATAAAAGGCTGTGGGTGATGACATAGACAAAACACTTTTACGGTTAAGTTCCCAAATAAAAAATTTAAGTTAAATGGGTTTCCATTGCATTTTCAATCTAGTTTTGGTGTATCCTCTCTAGACAGTTCGCTGAAAAAGTGGACAGTGTAGGTTATATGATGAGATATGCATAAGAGCAATACCATTTTTATTTGATGATTGGCAGCCAAGCATCATCATGTCACCAGCATTCAAATAATACCCTCGATATTTATTGGAAATTTGAATCAAGCTCACCAGGTCATAATTTATTTAATCTGCCTATAAACTCTTAATGCTTTCCCACGTCGTAGTGGTAGTACAACGTATCATATCATTGCGTGACTCCAAGTTTACTTCTATATGATGGTTATTATATCAATATTTGCGCATAAAGGTGTTTCCACTGCCATTTCTCGCATAATTCATTTTACTGACACAAAAAGATCCCACCATGTTGAACGAACAAATTGTTTGTCAACATTTATTAAATTGAACCGAAATTTCCTTTTTCCATCAGCCCAATCGTGACTTTTTAACCCATTACAGTCTAAGCCCTGTCTACGCTATATGGAATTGTTTTAATAAGGTCATACCAAGGATCATTTTGTTATTTGATTTTGAATTTTAAGACCTCTTGAAGTATACAAAAATATCTATATTTATATATATATTTGATGAAAATGCTATTTGGCCTTATTGCTATTAGCCCATACAAACGCATTGAATAACATACAGTGGGGGAAAAAAGTATTTAGTCAGCCACCAATTGTGCAAGTTCTCCCACTTAAAAAGATGAGAGAGGCCTGTAATTTTCATCATAGGTTCACGTCAACTATGACAGACAAATTGAGAATCCAGAAAATCACATTGTAGGATTTTTTATGAATTTATTTGCAAATTATGGTGGAAAATAAGTATTTGGTCACCTACAAACAAGCAAGATTTCTGGCTCTCACAGACCTGTAACTTCTTCTTTAAGAGGCTCCTCTGTCCTCCACTCATTACCTGTACTAATGGCACCTGTTTGAACTTGTTATCAAGACACCTGTCCACAACCTCAAACAGTCACACTCCAAACTCCACTATGGCCAAGACCAAAGAGCTGTCAAAGGACACCAGAAATAAAATTGTAGACCTGCACCAGGCTGGGAAGACTGAATCTGCAATAGGTAAGCAGCTTGGTTTGAAGAAATCAACTGTGGGAGCAATTATTAGGAAATGGAAGACATACAAGACCACTGATAATCTCCCTCGATCTGGGGCTCCACGCAAGATCTCACCCCGTGGGGTCAAAATGATCACAAGAACGGTGAGCAAAAATCCCAGAACCACACGGGGGGACCTAGTGAATGACCTGCAGAGAGCTGGGACCAAAGTAACAAAGCCTACCATCAGTAACACACTACGCCGCCAGGGACTCAAATCCTGCAGTGCCAGACGTGTCCCCCTGCTTAAGCCAGTACATGTCCAGGCCCGTCTGAAGTTTGCTAGAGTGCATTTGGATGATCCAGAAGAGGATTGGGAGAATGTCATATGGTCAGATGAAACCAAAACAGAAATTTTTGGTAAAAACTCAACTCGTCGTGTTTGGAGGACAAAGAATGCTGAGTTGCATCCAAAGAACACCATACCTACTGTGAAGCATGGGGGTGGAAACATCATGCTTTGGGGCTGTTTTTCTGCAAAGGGACCAGGACGACTGATCCGTGTAAAGGAAAGAATGAATGGGGCCATGTATCGTGAGATTTTGAGTGAAAACCTCCTTCCATCAGCAAGGGCATTGAAGATGAAATGTGGCTGGGTCAGCATGACAATGATCCCAAACACACCGCCCGGGCAACGAAGGAGTGGCTTCGTAAGAAGCATTTCAAGGTCCTGGAGTGGCCTAGCCAGTCTCCAGATCTCAACCCCATAGAAAATCTTTGGAGGGAGTTGAAAGTCCGTGTTGCCCAGCGACAGCCCCAAAGCATCACTGCTCTAGAGGAGATCTGCATGGATGAATGGGCCAAAATATCAGCCAGGGATATTTCCCAGATTCTGCCTCTGCCTCTGCCCCTTCTACCTCTACCACTCTTCCATCCCCTGGCCCTGTTTGATCCTCTTGCCCTGCTCTCTACATGGGCCCCTGTCTCTACACTGGCCCTCAGTAATCCTCCACGGACCCCTGGACCTCTGCCCCTGCAATCATTCAAGAATCAGGATCACCATTATCCTCCAAGTACATTTATATGTACATTTACCTGTACCAGAAATTTGACCTGGTGAAATGGTGCTGCCAGCAATTGACAGAAAATATACTCTATGTAAGTATAGCAATTAGTAGATGGTAATTGTATGTGCTGTAAATATGTCATAGACCTAGCTATGACTGATAGCTAACGTTAGCTAACTAACTTACACCTATTGATAAATTCATACAGTAATAAACTAGATATTATATTACCTCAATGTGATTTTTATTTTGTTTAAGGAAGACAAACGTGACTAATTAACACAAATATACTCAATGTTTTGCTAATACATTAAATGAAAACAAACATTTTTGATTACGACAAGCCTAACTAATTTTGCCAGCTAGCCTAGTCCAGCCAACAGGCAGAACACAGCTAAACACTACAAAAAGCTATTTTCCAGAAGTGTACAATATAATGGATGATGGCTAATTACATAAGATAATTGAATGTTTTAATCCAAAAAGTACTCTTACCAGTATCTTTGGTTATAGTCCGACAGGATTGACTGCAAGGCTAAAAGGCACTACGGCAGAGTGACAGTTGAGTTGTAAACATCACTCAGAGCGTGAGCGAGATTACATCTTCGCTACATTCAAGCCCAATGTCATCACCTCACCTGGCTGAGAAATCAGCAGCAAAATGTAAACAAACCTGAAGGGGGAAAAAGTGAAAAAAGCTCTGGTATTTCCAGTGCTGTGCTGTCAAAGCTGTCAATAGGTAAAATTAAAACTTAATATCTCTTATTTGAGCGATATAAACCAACATTTTATTTTGCACTTACTGAGTCTGGCTTTAATAAGTATTATACCATGGCATTGTTGAACACTCGTTTCTGATTGTCTTGAAGGGCATTCTAGAGCGTGCATTATTTCCCTATAACGAACGGTATATTTGCACAGAAAAAAATTCGATGGCTTTAGTTCGTTCTTACATGTTCTATATTTGAGCTGCTTTTGAAAACAAAAGTCAAATTGAAAACATTATTGCCATTGTTGAGTTTGATTTTCATAATAGCAAGCTAGGACTGAAGGTTTGGTTAGCTAAACTAGCAAGTCTGTTTGGTTACCAAGGCAACTACTGTCGCTATCTTGTAAACTTGCTAGATACTTTTCTAGCGGCAAATTAACATATTTCTAGCAGCAAATGTGTTAAATTACTGTATAGCCATGGTACGTAAGGGATAATCAACTCGTGGCTCTATGTGTTCTCTGGAAAATAATACAACTCCGTGGAAGGTTAGTTACACTCCACTAGTGCTTCGTGGAACACACCTTCCACGTCATTCATTATTTACCTTAGAACGCATAGTCTCTTGTTAATGATCCCTTACGTATATACCACCTTAATAGGGAATAATGGCCTTATTAATTATCTATCACTAGGAAACAGGACTGCCTTAAATTAGTATTTAATGTACCTTAATTATCCCTTAAAACATAAAAAGACCCCTTAATATCAATTAAATCAGCTTTTTTTTTTTTTTTTCTCTCTGCACGAGAGACTGTCTTCATTCTCCCCCTGCCTGTGCATCAGTTGACATTGTGCCCCTCCGGAGTCTCCAGCCAGAGCGGTGAAACAAGTTGTACCTTGTGTTGGGCTCTGGGACCCATTACATTCCCCATTTAAATGAATCACAGTTTAATTAACTTCAGTGGCATCTCCCTTATCTGGAGAGGTAACATTCACTAAGGCAAGGTGTGACTGTGTGACAGGCAAACGCTGGCAAGTCCTCTTGCTACGAATGTGATGCACACAGACACAAATGTACTGCCGAAATGTACTGCCAATCTCCTACAGTGCTGTTTGTTGGCGGTGGAGACTTGGTACTGACTCTTTCAAGCGAGTGAAGGGCTACAGTGGCATGGATAAATGTGGGGAAAATGAGGACGAAAGCCTAAAGTGGAGATAGAAACCTTAGGCTGGTACAAGAGAATGTGTGCCCAACCGAACCTCCAGAAGAAAACGTTTTCTCTCGCCTGCAAAATCCTGCCCTAGACACATTTTTATCTGGATGTTGGGTTGTGCGTGTCATACCATAGACCTTAGAATGTAGTGTAGAACTTTCAAGAAGGATACGGCGACAGCTCTGAATGTGTGTGCTAAGTGCATACTAACAGCTGACATGAAGAAAAGGATTGATTAAGTCATCCATCTTAAAGTTCGGAAGGTGAGAGGGCGAGGGCGAATGCACAAACGTGGCACTGCCAGTGAACCCACCATGAAAGTGATTAATCTGCCCCGGCCGCAAATTCCTGCGAGGTGGCCATCTTAAGCTCACAGAACCAGATTCAGGTACATTTGAAAACGGGTCACATTTTCCCCAAGTCATCCTCCCCTCAGTTTTTTTCCTAAATGTAATTGCTCTATTTTCCAGACTATTTTTTCCTTCTTTCCCCATCTACAGAACTGAATGACTTTGGTCCCTCCCAAGGGGTCAGTGAATCAAGTGGAGAGAAAGAACATGTAATTCAGTGACAAAGAGCCAGGCCCTATTGTGGAGAGAGAGAAAGAATGGGAGAGAGGGAAGGGGGAGAGAGTGGGCTTCCAGCGTCCAGCGACAGTAATTAAAGTAGGAGGTGATTAGTCCACCTCTGTGTAGGCCAGCTCATGAGAAATCTATTGACTGGCCACGTTAAATCGTCAATTTGGAACCATTAGGCCAGAAACATGGTGGTAATGATGATGGGTTGAGCCTCTGTGGGGTTACTGGAGAGGAGGCCCCCATCTCTCTCTCTCCTTGTTGCTCTCCCCCTCTCTCTCAACCCCTCTCTCTCTCTCTCTCTCTCTCTCTCTCCCTCTCTCTCTTTCTCTCTCTCTCCCTCCCTCTCTCTGGGGTCTAACTTGGCTTCGGAGGCCAAACATCACTGCTGATGTCGTGAATTAGGCCCGTGTAATGAGTCACGCGGTATTAGCTCCTTTGCCGACCCATGGCAAAAATGCTAGCTGGTTCCCTCAGTTCTGACATCACGGACGATACAACACAAGACCTGGGAGGGTGGGAGGGTGAACTCACTGCACTGGTCAGGATTTTATGTGGAGTTCCCAAGGCCTGTTGCTTAGCTGGTTCACACCTCCAAAATGTGTGTGGTTGGTGTCACCTGATGCTCATCCAGAGTCTGAGGCTCTGGATGAGCATCAGGCAACCTATTCCCTATTTAGTGCATCACTTTTTACAAATAGAGAATAGTGTGCCATTTGGGATGTGGCCTAAGACAAGGAACCCAACAGCATGAAAGGCAGGCAGTTGAGGACAGATGACTAACAGTAGCGGCTTGTTTAGTGCTCAGATAATAATGTAAATGTGCTTGTTTGTGATATGTTGTGCCAGTGACAGCTGTAGTGTTTGCTGATTTAGCATCACAGAGCGAGAGATATTGAAAATGGTCCCCTGTATTGCACCAGTCGGAGCAGAAAGGAGCTCCATGAATTATTCACTGCATTTGGTTTGCTTTCAGTCTCTCTTGGGCTGCGTCTCAAAACCCTATTCCCTATATAGTGCACTGCTTTTGAACAGATCCCTCTGGGCCCAGGTCAAAAGTAGTGCACTAAACAGGGAATAGGGTGCCACAAATGAGACTGAAAGCAAACCAAATGCAGGTTGCCAACCTGACATTATTGCCTTCTTGTTGGTCTCATTAGTCGACAGGGAAGAAATAAAAACACAAAGATTTTTTTTTTTCCAACATCACAGTATAACACAGAGGACCACCACTGATTTTAAACCTGAGACTCCACCTTGTCAATAACAAACAATAACTGTCATGGGCCTCTCACTCCACCGGGTTACCACCTTAATTTTCTTCCACTCTGCTCACCACTCTCTCTACTCAGCCTAACTAGCTCCACCTGTCCCTGCTCTGCTCTGCTCTAATTACTCTGCCAGCTGCGCTGCATTACCCACTACCTCTCCCAGTATTTAAGGCCCTGTCTTTCAGCTCTCCGGTGTCAGATCGTCTGCAAAGCTCACACCCGGAACCTGTTTGCTCGCGCTTCTGGCTCACCCTGGTTTTGTGACCCCGGACCTGCCTGTTTTTTGGATACTCTTCTGCCTCAGGAGATCCAGACCTGCTTCTGCCATTACGACTCCTGACTACTCTTCAATCCCGGTAACTCTGACCAGCCTTCTGCCTTGCTACTACGTATTTTGGATTTCCCTTGAACTGTACTGCTGCCTGGTTTCATTCCGCCCTGTTGTGTCTGTGTCTCCCCCCCCCAGGACTTCTGGACCACCCACCACCGGCTTCATAGGACGCATCGCTGCCACTGGGGGGGGCACAGACCCAGCGCATTGGACGGGATCCCTGTTACCCCTGGAGCCTTCATTCACTCCCTACTTCCCTTTTCCCCTTAAGTTTAATAAACTTTCTGGTGTGACGCAATTGTGGTCCTCTGGTCGTCTGTCTGAACCGTGACAGTACGATCTGACCATTATGGACTCAGCGCACACTTTCCCCGACATGGAAACCGATGAGCATGAGCAGCAGTTCCAGCAGCAGCAACAACAACTCGCCATGATCATTCAACTCCTCACCAACCTTACCCCAGCCAGTCTGCCCACCAGCCCAGCCCCCGAGTTACCTGCCCCGGTCATTGCAGCCGCTGCTCCGGAACCCAAGATTGGAAACCCCGAGCGGTTCAACGGCGATTCAACCCAGGTCCGGCCATTCCTGACTAGCTGCCGACTTCAGTTCTCCTTGCAGCCAAGGACCTTCGCCACGGAGGGGGCTAAAGTTGGGTATGCCATCACTCACCTGACGGGCCGAGCTCGACTCTGGGGAACAGCAGAGTTCGAACGTCAAACCCCCGCATGTGCAACCTTCGACCTGTTTGCTGAGGAGATGCTGAAGGTGTTTGACCTGGATTCACCCACTGCAGAGGCGTCTCGTGAACTGTTCAGTATTCGACAAGGCAGACGTACAGTCGCAGACCATTCCATCGACTTCCGAACCCTGGCTAGACGAAGTTCTTGGAACACACCATCGTTGGTGGACGCGTTCTTCCATAGTTTGGCTGACTATATCAAGGACGAGTTGGTCTCCCATGAACGGCCTTCCACTCTTGATGAAGCCATCGCACTGACTGTCAGGATCGACAGAAGGATACAGACCCGTCGTCGTGAGAGGGGGCGCCAAGGTCCACCTACTACCGGCATTCGGAGAGATCCGACTGGGCTCCTGTCATCTACTGCCACTCACCCAGGTCAGCTTGATCAGTCTGAGCCTATGGAGATTGGGCGAGCCTCCCTCACTCCTGCAGAGCGCCAGCGCCGCTTCACCTCAAACCTCTGCCTCTATTGTGGAGGTGATGGACATCGTGTGGTAACCTGCCCTTTAAAGGGCCGAAGCTCACCGGGCATAGGGGGAGTCCGGTTGAGTTCAATGACCATCCAGTCCTCCGACCGCAAACCCCTGCTGCAAGTTCACCTCCGCCTCTCTGACTCAACTCACACCCTGGCTGCTCTGGTGGATTCTGGCGCCGAAGCCAACATAATGGACATCAAGCTGGCACGCCAACTGGGACTGGAGAACCTCCGTTTGACACCTCCTATTCCTGCCCGGGCACTGGACGGACACTTACTCGGATCGGTCACTCATGTCACGGCCCCGGTCTCGATGGGTCTGTCCGGAAACCATCAAGAAACTATCCAGTTTCACCTGCTCCCCTCTCCAGGCCAACCCCTCATCCTGGGTTACCCATGGCTCCGCCGGCACAACCCTCAGCTCGACTGGGTGACCGGGGTGATCAGGGAGTGGGGAGAGGACTGCCACCGAACCTGCCTGCTTGCTGCCGCACTACCCCCCTCGGCCAGTACCTACTAACTCCGCTCCTGACCTCTCCAATGTCCCAGAATGCTACCATGGTCTCAGAGAGGTGTTTAACAAAGCAAGAGCCACATCTCTGCCCCCTCACCGACCGTACGACTGTGCCATCGACCTCCTCCCTGGAACAGCTCCTCCAAAGGGTCGTCTTTATTCGTTGTCTGCTCCTGAAAGAAAGTCCATGGAGGACTACATCAATGGCTCTCTGTCCGCAGGATTAATCCGTTCATCTTCATCTCCTGCTGGTGCTGGCTTCTTCTTTGTGGGGAAGAAGGACGGATCTCTTCGCCCCTGCATCGACTACAGGGGACTCAACGACATCACAGTGAAAAAACCGTTACCCTCTGCCTCTGCTCACCTCTGCTTTTGAGTTGCTCCAGGGAGCCACTGTTTTTACCAAGTTGGATCTCAGAAACGCTTACCACCTAGTGCGGATCCGGGAGGGAGATGAATGGAAAACCGCATTCAATACACCAACAGGCCACTACGAGTATCTGGTTATGCCTTTTGGCCTCACCAATGCTCCTGCTGTGTTCCAGGCTCTAGTGAATGATGTACTGCGGGACATGTTAAACAAGTTTGTCTTCGTTTACCTGGATGATATCTTAATCTACTCCAGAAACCTGTCTGAACACACCCGCCATGTCCAGCAAGTCCTTCATCGTCTTCTGGAGAATTCCCTCTACGCCAAGGCAGAGAAATGTGAGTTTCACGTCAAGACAGTGGCCTTCCTGGGGTACATAGTGGCAGAGGGAAGTATCCAAATGGATCCTGCCAAAGTATCAGCAGTCACTTCATGGCCAGTTCCGGAGAACAGAAAGAAGCTGCAACAGTTTCTGGGGTTTGCTAACTTCTATAGGAAGTTTATCCGGAACTACAGTACCGTTGCTGCCCCTCTCACTGCTCTAACCAGCACCAAGCAACCCTTCACCTGGACCCCAGCAGCCGACAAAGCCTTCAGTACCCTCAAGGTGAGGTTCACCTCCGCTCCCATCCTCCAGATGCCTGATGTGGACCGGCAATTCATTGTGGAGGTGGACGCCTCGGATGTGGGAGTTGGTGCTGTGATTTCTCAGTGGGCTGCGGAGGATAGGAAGCTCCATCCCTGTGCCTTTTTCTCACGTCGGTTGTCCCCCTCTGAGTGCAATTACGACATAGGGAACCGTGAGCTGCTGGCTGTGAAGCTTGCCTTGGAGGAGTGGCGTCACTGGCTGGAGGGGTCCACCATTCCATTTCTCGTTTGGACCGATCATAAGAACTTGGAGTACATCCGCACGGCCAAACGGTTGAACTCCAGGCAGTCCCGCTGGGCCCTGTTCTTCACCAGGTTTAATTTCACTCTGTCATACCGGCCTGGATCACGCAACACCAAGCCAGACGCCCTCTCCCGTCAATTCCAGAAGGATGACACCCCCGTCCAAGGACCCTGTGTCGATTCTGCCAAGTCCCTGCATCGTTGCAGCTCTGACCTGGGCTGTTGAGGAACAGGTGCTGGAGGCTCTCCGTAACCAGCCAGGTCCCAGCACTTGCCCAGCTGACCGCCTTTTTGTCCCCGAAGACCTGAGGTCCCAGGTCGTTCAGTGGGGACATGACTCCCGCCTAGCTTGTCACCCTGGCTCCACCCGCACTTACAACCTGCTCGCCCAGAGGTTCTGGTGGCCCTCTCTGAGGAAGGATGTACGGGAATTCGTCCAAGCCTGCCCCATCTGCAACCAACACAAGTCGTCCTGCCAGCCCCCAGCCGGATTGCTGCAGCCCCTGCCTGTGCCCAGACGTCCCTGGTCTCACATCGCCCTTGACTTTGTCACGGGGCTGCCCCCTTCAAGTGGCATGACCGTCATTCTCACCATCGTTGACCGTTTCAGCAAGATGGCACACTTCATTCCCCTCCCCAAGCTCCCAACCGCCAAGGAGACCGCCCAGGTGGTCCTGGAACACGTCTTCCGGATCCACGGACTGCCAAAGGATGTAGTTTCTGACCGTGGTCCACAATTCTCCTCCGCTTTTTGGAAGGAGTTCTGTCACCTGCTGGGAGCCACAGTCAGTCTGACTTCCGGATTCCATCCCCAATCCAATGGGCAGTCAGAGCGGGCTAATCAGGAGCTCGAGAAGGCACTGCGATGCATGACTTCACGCAACCCCCACTCCTGGTCGCAGCAATTGACATGGGTGGAGTACGCACACAATTCTCTGACCTGCTCTGCCATCGGTATGTCCCCTTTCCAATGTGTTTATGGATACCAGCCTCCTCTATTTGCCAGCCAGGAAGAGGAGGTTACTTGCCCATCTGCACTTGCTTTTGCCCGTCGATGTCGCCGCACCTGGTCACAAGCCCGAGCCACACTCCTCAGATCCGTTGCCAGCTACACTACCGGGGCCAACCGTCGGAGAATTCCTGCTCCCACCTACCATGTTGGTCAAAGGGTGTGGTTGTCATCGAAGAACCTGCCACTCAGGGTGGAGTCGCAGAAGCTGGCACCTCGGTTCATTGGCCCATTCCCTATCATAAGAGTGATTAGCCCAACTGCTGTCCGGCTCCAACTGCCTAATTCCCTGAGGGTGCACCCCACTTTCCATGTGTCTAAGATTAAGCCCATCCATGAGAGTCCGCTGGTCCCTGCTGCGCCTGGTCCTCCTCCTCCACGGCTCGTCGATGGTGGTCTGGTTTACACCGTCCGCCGCCTGCTTCGGTCCAGACGGAGGGGTAGGGGTCTCCAGTACCTCATTGACTGGGAGGGCTATGGACCTGAGGAGAGGACCTGGGTGCCAGCTAGTCGGATTGTGGATAGGACTCTCATCACCGCTTTCCACCAACGGCATCCTGATCAACCTGCAATCCGTAGGGGCCGCCCCAGAGGGGTCCCTAACCGTCCGGCCCGCTCGGCTTCCTGTCCTGTGCCTGATCCTGTCTCGGGACCTGTCCCATCTCCCGACCACGGCCCTCCGGCTTCCTCCGAGGATGAGGACGTTCACTCGGACCGTTCGGAGGAGTTCTAGCCCTCCTCCGGCTCCCCTCCTCCCGCCCGGCGTGGTGTTGCTCTTGGGACTTCTGGGGCCGTCCCTTGGGGGGGGGGTTCTGTCATGGGCCTCTCACTCCACCGGGTTACCACCTTAATTTTCTTCCACTCTGCTCACCACTCTCTCTACTCAGCCTAACTAGCTCCACCTGTCCCTGCTCTGCTCTGCTCTAATTACTCTGCCAGCTGCGCTGCATTACCCACTACCTCTCCCAGTATTTAAGGCCCTGTCTTTCAGCTCTCCGGTGTCAGATCGTCTGCAAAGCTCACACCCGGAACCTGTTTGCTCGCGCTTCTGGCTCACCCTGGTTTTGTGACCCCGGACCTGCCTGTTTTTTGGATACTCTTCTGCCTCAGGAGATCCAGACCTGCTTCTGCCATTACGACTCCTGACTACTCTTCAATCCCGGTAACTCTGACCAGCCTTCTGCCTTGCTACTACGTATTTTGGATTTCCCTTGAACTGTACTGCTGCCTGGTTTCATTCCGCCCTGTTGTGTCTGTGTCTCCCCCCCCCAGGACTTCTGGACCACCCACCACCGGCTTCATAGGACGCATCGCTGCCACTGGGGGGGGCACAGACCCAGCGCATTGGACGGGATCCCTGTTACCCCTGGAGCCTTCATTCACTCCCTACTTCCCTTTTCCCCTTAAGTTTAATAAACTTTCTGGTGTGACGCAATTGTGGTCCTCTGGTCGTCTGTCTGAACCGTGACAATAACAAATCTAGTCCCCCGTAGACAGATTAGCGTGGAAACTCAGGGAGGAAATTGCCTCATCATGACTTGATTTTAGAGTACTGTTTATTTTTTAAGACATAATAATATAACTCTTGACTGGTACGCCACCATTGCATCACCTTAATAATGATAATAATAATAATATGCCATTTAGCAGACACTTTTATCCAAAGCGACTTACAGTCATGTGTGCATACATTTTTGTGTATGGGTGGTCCCGGGGATCGAACCCACTACCCTGGCGTTACAAGCGCCATGCTCTACCAGCTGAGCTAAAGAGGATCACCCACCTTCATGTAATTACTTCAAAATTACTTCAAATTCTCACTGTATCCGTTCAAGCTGTGGGTGATGTTTCACTCACATTTCGGATATTCAAGCAATGTCTTCATCTTCAGATTTTAAAATATTAGAAAAATGTATTGTGCAGATTTTGGTCAAGGTGAAGGTTGTTGTAGCCTGTACTGTATTTACTCTTTCACTTTTTAAACTCTTCTTGAAGTTACTTAACAGTATATACAGTGACCTCCAAAAGTATTGGGACAGTGATTAATATACTTCTTTGGGGCTCTGTACTCCAGCACTTTGGAATTGAAATGATACAATGACTATGAAGTTAAAGTGCAGACTGTCAGCATTAATTTGAGGGTATTTTCATCAATATCGGGTGAACCATTTAGAAATTACAGCACTTTTTGTACATAGTCCCCCAATTTTAGGGGACAAAAGTATTGGGACAAATACTGTATTAAAGTAGTCAAACGTTTAGTATTTGGTCCCATATTCCTAGCATGCAATGATTACATCAAGCTTGTGACTCTACAAAATTGTTGGATGCATTTGCTGTTCGTTTTGGTTGTGTTTAAGATTATTTTGTGCCCAATAGAAATGAATAGTAAATAATGTATTGTGTCATTTTGGAGTCACTTCTACATTAATGTTGATGGTACCATGATTAAGGATAGTCCTGAATGAATCATAGGATAGTCCTGAATGATGAGTGAGAAAGTTACAGATGCACAAATATCATATACCCAAGGCATGCTAACCTCTTACCATTACAATAACCGGGGAGGTTAGCATTTTTTGGGAGGTATGATATTTGTGCGTCTGTAATGCTCAATGCTCGAAACTGCGCTATGCCACTGGGCTTCCACCATTTTAAAGTAGTTAACTGGGTGGGGATTCCTATGAGTTGGGAGCAATCAGCCAATGAAGAATAAAAAAAATTTACTACTTTAAAATGTTAGGTAGCCTCAATGGCGCTGCCCATGCTGTCACAAACGTTATGATGGCACAGATACAAAGATGAGTCCTGTATCTATATCTATGGCCTGTTGTTGACATGTGTATCTGCCCTCTCATTGGCTACAATGGTCCCACATGATCTCGCCTTCTCCCGCCTGCCTTCCATCTTTGAGGACATGTATTTCCATTGTTACAGCGGTCGCTTGACTATCTTGTCAATATAATAGACAATCTTCGGCTATACCGGTTTCATTGTAACTGTGCTGAACAAAGATGGCAGACAAAAGTGAAAGCGCTTGCCAAGGTTCTAATCAGTACTCTCCCAGCTGTGAGGGATGAGTAATGAGCAAAGGGGCCAAGTCAGGCCCTAATGAAGTCAGCTAGCTCTCTCAAACTCCATCTCCATCACACTCTTTCTCTAACTCTCCTGCTGCTGCTGCCGTGCTGTATAAGGTGTTTGTCTGCATGAAGCGAGCTAGCGAGCTATACCGCTCTCCTAATTTACCCCTGGGAGGGAAGATAAATGGATGACGCTAATTAAGTGAACGCAGTGATGGCAGTAGTGGTATTGGAAGGCCGCGGTGTGAATGTCCAATGTCTAAGTATGGAATTTAAGTGGTGGTGATGGCGATATGCCTTGTTTTGTATCTGTTTCATGTAATATGTTACATATGAAATGCATACAGTTGAAGTCGGAAGTTTACATACACCTTAGCCAAATACATTTAAAATCAGTTTTTCACAATTCCTGACATTTCATCCTAGTAAAACTTCCCTGTTTTAGGTCAGTTAGGATCACCACTTTATTTTAAGAATGTGAAATGTCAGAATAATAGTAGAGAGAATTATTTATTTCAGCTTTTATTTATTTAATCACATTCCCAGTGGGTCAGAAGTTTACATACACTCAATTAGTATTTGGTAGCATTGCCTTTAAATTGTTTAACTTGGGTCAAACGTTTCGGGTAGCCTTCCACAAGCTTCCCACAATAAGTTGGGTGAATTTTGGCCCATTCCTCCTGACAGAGCTGGTGTAACTGAATCAGGGTTGTAGGCCTCCTTGCTCGCACACGCTTTTTCAGTTCTGCCCACACATTTTCTATAGGATTGAGGTCAGGGCTTTGTCATGGCCACTCCAATACCTTGACTTTGTTTTCCTTAAGCCATTTTGCCACAACTTTGGAAGTATGCTTGGGGTCATTGTCCATTTGGAAGACCCATTTGCGACCAAGCTTTAACTTCCTGACTGATGTCTTGAGATGTTGCTTCAATATATCCACATTATTTTCCAGTCCCTCCTGCAGTAAAGCACCCCGACAGCATGATGCTGCGACCCCCGTGCTTCACGGTTGGGATGGTGTTCTTCGGCTTTCAAGTGCCCCTTTTTCCTCCAAACATAACGATGGTCATTATGGCCAAACAGTTCTATTCTTCTTTCATCAGACCAGAGGACATTTCTCCAAAAAGTACGATCTTTGTCCCCATGTGCAGTTGCAAACCATAGTCTGGCTTTTTTATGGCAGTTTTGGAGCAGTGGCTTGTTCCTTGCTGAGCGGCCTTTCAGGTTATGTCGATATAGGACTCGTTTTACTGTGGATATAGATACTTTTGTACCTGTTTCCTCCAGCATCTTCACAAGGTCCTTTGCTGTTGTACTGGGATTGATTTGCACTTTTCGCACCAAAGTATGTTCATCTCTAGGAGACAGAACGCGTCTCCTTCCTGAGCGGTTTTATAGTTGCGTACAATTTTTTGTACAGATGAATGTGGTACCTTCAGGCATTTGGAAATTGCTCCCAAGGATGAACCAGACTTGTGGGGGTCTACCATTTTTTTCTGAGGTCTTGGCTGATTTCTTTTGATTTTCCCATGATGTCAAGCAAAGAGGCACTGAGTTTGGAGGTAGGCCTTGAAATACATCCACAGGTACACCTCCAATTTACTCAAATTATGTCAATTAGCCTATTAGAAGCTTCTAAAGCCATGACATCATTTTCTGGAATTTTTCAAGCTGTTTAAAGGCACAGTCAACTTAGTGTATGTAAAATTCTAACCCACTGGAATTGTGATACAGTGAATCAGTGTGATAAAGTGTGATACACTCACTAAAATAAAGTGAAATAATCTGTCTGTAAACAATTGTTGGAAAAATTACTTGTGTCATGCACAAAGTAGATGTCCTAACCGACTTGCCAAAACTATAGTTTGTTAACAAGACATTAGTGGAGTGGTTGAAAAACGAGTTTTAATGACTCCAACCTAAGTGTATGTAAACTTCCGACTTCAACTGTACTGAGCATGTTAAGGAGTGACAGAGAGAGCATTGACAGATGCAGCTCTCGCTCTCTCTCTCTCTCTCTCTCTCTCTCTCTCCCTTTCTCTCCTTCACTCTCTTTCTGCCAATCAATAATTCACTGGAGTTTGAATACAAATCTAGGGTGATCAGTTCTGGTTTCACACAATAATGTAATTGCCATTAACGAGCTTGGATTCTGCAAAACTCTCCCCAACTAGCTACCCTCTTTCCTTCTGCCTTTCTTTCTGCCTTTCTTTCTTTCTTTTTTTATTTTCATCTTTCTCTTGCATGAAAGGAGGCAGACTCTGGTTTCTGCTTCCTCTTTTGCCTCTGAGTAATCGCTCACCTAAGGGAAGTGTCAGAGGAGACCACACAAAGCAGTGGCAGCGGCGAGGATTATGATGTATAGCCTCTATGCAACGCAGTCTAAACGAAATCCTACCAATTAATGTGTATTTGAAATTTAGGCCACTTGTTAATGATGACACACAATATTTGGAATTGCAACTATGTTGAATTTACATCCTTCAGCCCCCATGCTGCTCTGAAATTAAGTGTATTTTATTTATACAATGCCTTCAGAAAGTATTCATACCCTTTGACTTATTCCACATTTTGTTGTTGTCACGTTCGTTCAATGACGGGTCAGACCAAGGCGCAGCGTGATACGCTTACATGTTTATTCAACTTAATAAACACAAGACAAAACCCCAAAGGTGCGGACACAACATAAACATAACAGGGTAGGGGCCGGGTGGGCATTCTGCCTCGGAGGCGGATCCGGCTCCGGGCGTGACGACCTCTTACTCTCCGCCTCCCTGTTGCGCCCCTGGTCTGGTCTGGAGCCGCTGACCGGAGCTGGACCAGGCACCGGTGGAGCGGACTGCTCAGGCTCTGGACTAGAGCCGCTGACCGGAGCTGGACTTGGCACCGGTGGAGCGGACTGCTCTGGCTCCGGAGTGGAGCAGCTGACCGGAGCTGGACTGGACCCCGGTGGAGCGGACTGCTCTGGCTCCGGAGTGGAGCCGCTGACCGGAGCTGAACCGGGCACCGGTGGAGCGGACTGGGTTCCTTTATTAACCCCCGCTCCTTCTGCTGCCTAACCAGCTCCTCTCTCCGTGCCTCCACTATTTCCTTCTCCCTTTTAGCCTCCTGTAGCGCCTCCCTCTGACCGAATAACTCCTGCTCCCTCTGAACCAACAGCCCCCGTAACATGGTGGCCTCCTCTCCTAACCTGCAGATCCGCCCTTCCACGGCCTCCTGCTGCCTCGTCGTCCACCCCGTGTGCCCCCCCAAAAATGTTCTTGGGGTTGCCTCTCGGGTCTCTGTCGTCGGCACTGTTGGCGCCGTTTCTCCTCTCCTACCTGGGCATCTAACTTCATCGCCTCCCGATAACGGACGGCCTCCTCCTTAGTAATTCTCCCCCAACCGTGGAGGACATCTACTAAGGTTACCTCCCGTTGAGTCCCAGGCGTTTGCTCCTTCTGGGCACGCTGCTTGGTCCTCGTTTGGTGGGATCTTCTGTCACGTTCATTCAATGACGGGTCAGACCAAGGCGTAGCGTGATATGCGTACATGTTTATTCAACTTAATAAACACACGACAAAACAATAAATGAAACGTGAAGTCCTAAGATAGACACACAACATACCTTACACGGAACAAGATCCCACAACTAGACAGTGCCAATAGGCTGCCTAAGTATGGTCCCCAATCAGAGACAACGAGCGACAGCTGCCTTTAATTGGGAACCACACCGGCCAACATAGAACTATACATACTAGATCACCAACATAGAAAATACAACATAGAACCTTCACACCCTGACTCAACATATAAGAGTCCCCTGAGTCAGTGCGTGACGGTTGTGTTACAGCCTGAATTCAAAATGCATTAAATATTTTTTAAAATCTTACCCCATCTACACAAAATACCCCATAATGACAAAGTGAAAACATGCAGATGACAAGCATACCCATAACGTGATGCAGCCACCAGCATTCTTGAAAATATGTAGAGTGGTACTCAATGTTGGATTTGACCCAAACATAATGCTTTATATTTTGGACATAAAGTATGATGTTTTCCCCTATTTGTTTTCAGTTTTACTTTTGTGCCTTATTTTTATTCTGTGGAGGCTTCCTTCTTTTCACTCTCATGAAAGTTAATATGGTGGAGTAACTACAACGTTGTTGATCCATCCTCAGTTTTGTCCTTTCACAACCATTAAACTCTGTAACTGTTTTAAAGACTAAATGTACCTCATGGTGAAATCCCTGAGCGATATCCTTCCTCTCCGGCAACTGAGTTAGGAAGGATGCCTGTATCTTTGTTGTGACTGGGTGTATTGATGCAATTAATAACTTTACCACATTTTTACTCCTTAACTTATTTAGACTTGCCATAACAAAATCTCAATTTAATCCATTTAAAATTCAGGCTGTAACACAACAAAAATGTAGAAAAAGTCAAAGGGTGTGAATACTTTCTGAAGGCACTGTACGTTTCCATCCCAGACTGAAACGTCAGAAGTGTTACCCTGAGTTGGCATGCAATGTCATAGCAATGCCTGTTAAAGGGATAGTTTATCGAAATTGCAAAACAACATATTGATTGCCTTTTACACTTGCGTTGGTTTTGGGCCAAAAATGCTGAGTATTTAGAGACAGTGGCCAAGTAAACAAAACCTAAGCATTGTTGTTTTACCATGTCTATAAACTGCTTACAGGGTAAAGAAACCAATATACTACTATTGTAAGTCTTGAACTGCTCTACAACAGGACAAATCCAATAGAAAGCAATGCAAATGAAATAAATGCATCTTTATGGTACTCCACAGTTCCCCCTGATGACCCTGTGATTGTTGGGGCCCCTGTGGTGAGCCTAAGGGCCGGCGACCCCCTCAACCTGACGTGCCACGCCGACAATGCCAAGCCTGCCGCTTCCATCATCTGGATCCGCAACGGGCAGGAACTGAAGAACGCCATGCACTCTAAGGTAAGGACATGGGCTTAGCTTCCACTAGGGATGGGGGGGACATGTCCCCTCCACATTCTGAAATTGCATTTTTGTCCCCCCCAGTTTTATAATTTAATTGTAGGTATGGATCTAGACTGGGTATGGTTTGAGCTAGATTTGAATGATCTCTGTGCTGACCTGACTCTTTCAACAGGACATCGCTATTTGTACATATTGAAACTAATTCAACACCTTAACCATTACACCAAGCAATTCAAACTGACTTATTAAGGTTGCTACAATGGCCCCTTCCTACGGAAAGAGCGCCCATCGCTTTTCTATCTGCAGTCCCTCATGCCCAGGCTTTGATGGCATCACAGTAGCGTCATCCCACTTCTGACACCAATGTAGAGAATTCAGGGGGTTGCTCTGACCAGCACTCCAGCGAATGTCAACCCAACACCATAGCTGTTACGCCAAGAGATCCAAACCTCTTCACTATACAATATGTATGTATGTACTGTATTTATGTATGTACAAATTCAATACATACTGATAAAACTGTTATTATACCTCTATACAAGACATGAATCTAGATATTTTGCACTCACTAAAAACTACAAGAACTGCATACACTGAAATTAAGTTTACATAAATTGATTGTGCACCTGAAATGTGTCCTTTGGACCTTGATAAGAGGTGTGCTCTCTCTTCCCTCACTTGGAGGAATCCTTCCCACTCTTTCTATCTTCCTCTCTTCTCCTCTCTTCACTCTTAACCTTCCTCCATGTGTCCTGAAAAAGGCCTCGCTCTGTCAGTTTAATTTACATTTTACATTTTAGTCATTTAGCAGACGCTCTTATCCAGAGCGACTTACAGTTAGTGAGTGCAAACGCCATGCTCTACCAACTGAGCTACACTGGACCGTGGCAGCTGAGATTTTTTATTTGATTCACGGGGCAAGATGGAGCACTAGTGCTTTAAACATGACGAAAAAAGAGAAACCATTCCAACACTCTACATTATGGATGTGTTCATGGGCAATTTGTTCACTTTGTCAGCCCTGAGTCGGAAACTGAGCAAGTGAGAGGCGCGTTTAATCTTGCAGTGTGATCTTGCTTGTTCCCACTCAAACTCACTGGAGAGCGCTCCTTTCACTCATTGTAAGCCCATAAATTAGACACAGGCAAACCACTTAGACATATTTATTATTATATCAGCACCCTCCTTCCCAATTAATATTCCATACATCCCCACTTTACATCACTCTAACATGGAGATAGGACTATTTTGGGAAAATAAGGAGTATTCTAGAATTCTATTGGGATCTTGATGGTTAATAACTGACACAGGGAGGGTATAGTTACTTTGTAAGTACTTAGTATCAGCATCTGTATGGAACATTTGTATATGTGTCACATCTGATACTGATTACATCATATTGATGACACGTCACAATGTTAGGATGTCAAGTCTTTTTGATTCATCTGAATCTGTTAACAGCTCCATTTTAAATGCATCAGGATACTTTATTTTGGAGACAGAGCACCAATATGTTTCATCTTCATCCATGGATGAGGCTGGGTTTTGGAAAAACATACTTTGATTCAGATCATGACTTGACTTGGCATATCAAGACATGCAAATTGAGGTAAACGATAGAGAGACGACTGATTCCATCTGTCAAGTATGACATCAGAAATCTGTTTTTAAAAATTTACACCACTAAACTCTATTACTATGTAATTACAAATATGTTACTACCATGTTATTACTATGTAATTCAAGGCAAGACATACATGAGATTCATGAGGTCATACAGTTCGTATATATTGCATGATGTACTGTAAATCGATTGCTCCCCATCTACTGTATTACTTGCAATGGCTGTGATATGTGGTTGTCTTATTTACCTTAGTTGCTCTAGTCACTCTGGATAAGGATGCTAAATGAACACAACGTAAATGTAATTTAAATAAGACATCTTGTAATGATAATAGCTATCTCTGGTCTTGCATTGATTCCTCAGACACTGTTGCAGGATGGGCGAAGGGAGAGTACAGTCAGCTCACTCTACCTCTCTGCTTCCAACATCGAGACAGGCCAACAAATCACCTGTCGCGCCTCAAACAAGGCCGTGCCCAACGGGAAAGATGCCATTGTCACAATCGATATTCAACGTGAGTACAGCGCCCCATATCTCACACTCGCTCACATTAAATTCATCCATTCGTCTATCTATTTGAACAATCAAACACTGTATTTATCCTATTTTTACTGCAGAATTCTACCCCTAACATTGCACATGCTAAATCAACATTTCCAATATTTATTAACATTGTCTTTTGGAGGGTCCAAGGCTGGGTTTTCACAAACACTGTCGAAATGTGAATTCTATTAAATGCAGCACTTCCTATTCAAATAAAAATTAACATGACTGATGTGGTCTGGGAGCACAATGGAAGAGATAATGTGTTTGATGTCATGGTCTCAGCCAATGAAAATCAATGTTAGTGTTTGCCATTTGATTCTTCTTGTGTGTATGGCCATTGTGTGCACTTCTCTTTCTTTCTTTCTTTCTTTCTTTCTTTCTTTCTTTCTTTCTTTCTTTCTTTCTTTCTTTCTTTCTTTCTTTCTTTCTTTCTTTCTTTCTTTCTTTCTTTCTTTCTTTCTTTCTTTATTTATTTCTTTCTTGTGCTCAACCTGCCACTAATCATTTATACAAAAGTACTATCAAAAGAGATTCCTTCTGAATAGTAAAAAATAGGCCCCTCTGTACAAAATGCAATTGTCAGAAGGTATTATTTGATCACAAAAACCATTTGCCGTAAGTTATGGATTTTGAACAAAGGCCTTTTGCATCCATCACAGCTCCTTCAAAGCTATTAAGTTTGACTAATAAAACTGAAATACTATTCAAGGATCCATTACTTTTGACAGCTCTATTCTTCCTCATCGTGCATTCTTTCTATTTTTGTGTGTCATCCAAAAGGAATCCTCTCCCCAAGCCTTGGCACGGGGAGAGACAGAAACAAGAGCGCTAAGTGATTAGCTGTTGTTGTGTGCACTGTCAGAGAGGGTCCTAATCGTTTTGTCATGCAAAACAATGGCGCCGTTTTTATTTTTCCTCGCAGCAAGTCAACTGCTTTATAAAAACAAATGTTTGATTCAGCCCTAGCTCTTTCTGTTTGGGTAACCTTGAGTTTGCCTGAAATAAAATATATACCTAGCAGGCAGCAGCAGCAATAATGGAGCTATAGTGATGCCGTTTGTGATCGAATCAATTTGGGTAATAAGGTGAATCTGATACCGATGGTAAGCGGAGCTCGTTTGATGGGAATGAACTGCAACAGTGCAGAGTTGAGGACAGGGCTCTCCCCAATATACCAACAGTGGTTGAAGAACAAAACCCCCCAAGAGTAACACACTCTATTGGCATGCCAAAGCTGTAAGAATCAATTCTCCTCAGGATGGAAATGTGAGAGATGCCATAACAGACTGAGAAGAGCTTGAGCGATGGGTCTGCCTTTAGCACTCAGCATGAGCCTTACTGATTTCCAATCGGCCAATCGCGTGGGCCCGCCTAAATGTGTCTCTCGTTTCACTTTGCATGCGCATTCAGTAGCAAAGGGAGGGGTAAAATAAAACACAAGGAAGCAATTTAGCAAAGTGGAAAGCCAGCCATAAGCCACTAGCCACAGGCTCCCCTGTTACCGAGGGTGGGGGAATGGAAACAGGTGTTGGATGAATAAGTGATGACAGCGCGTGGCGAGGAGAAGAGGCCACGAGGCTCGTAGGGGTCCTCGGGGGGCACTGACTGCCACCAGGGGCGCCCTACTGTCACAGTAGCCAGTTAATATTAATGAGAGGCAGCTGGTTTGGGTGGCGGTGGCGGGCAGTGTGGAAAGAAGCACACACACAAACACATGCCCCAGAATGCATCGGGCAGAGGGCAGACAAACAAGGGGGAGGAGGTTAGCACGGGACACGGGGCCCGTCTAGTCGGCGACTCCAATCACGTCAGGTATTCTCTCACTGGTTATGAACAACCTTACAAGCAAGCATCTTGGTGCCCGCCTATCTCTCGTAGGGTAACGGTGGTCAAAGTAAATATTAAAGCCTTAGACCTATCACTAAAAGCTTCAGTCATACAAAAGTTATACTTAAATCCGAACTGGTTCTCTAGCAAATTAGTAAGATTGTCTCACCCAATGTTCAAGAAAGGCCTTTTTCCCTTTATTCAGATTACAACAACTCATTTGCAGTTATTTGAAAAGGAAATCATCTCCCAAATATCACTATTTCTAAAACAAGCCATAGAAAGTTGGTTGCATTTTCAATTTTAATCCTCCAGAAACGACAGAACAAATAATGCAACAAATATTGTGGTTAAATTCAAATATACTAATTGACAAAAAACCTTTATTGTTTGACAGAATGTTTAAAAAAGGTATAATCTCCGTAAATGATATCATCGGTAGGACTGGTGGAGTTACAGTGGGGGAAAAAAGTATTTGATCCCCTGCTGATTCTGTACGTTTGCCCACTGACGAAGAAATTATCAGTCTATAATTTTAATGGTAGGTTTATTTGAACAGTGAGAGACAGAATAACAACAAAAAAATCCAGAAAAACGCATGTCAAAATGTTATAAATTGATTTGCATTTTAATGAGGGAAATAAGAATTTGACCCCCTCTCAATCAGAAAGATTTCTGGCTCCCAGGTGTCTTTTATACAGGTAACGAGCTGAGATTTGGAGCACACTCTTAAAGGGAGTGCTCCTAATCTCAGTTTGTTACCTGTATAAAAGACACCTGTCCACAGAAGCAATCAATCAATCAGATTCCAAACTCTCCACGATGGCCAAGACCAAAGGGCTCTCCAAGGATGTCATGGACAAGATTGTAGACCTACACAAGGCTGGAATGGGCTACAAGACCATCGCCAAGCAGCTTGGTGAGAAGGTGACAACAGTTGGTGCGATTATTCGCAAATGGAAGAAACACAAAAGAACTGTCAATCTCCCTCGGCCTGGGGCTCCATGCAAGATCTCACCTCGTTGAGTTGCAATGATCATGAGAATGGTGAGGAATCAGCCCAGAACTACACGGGAGGATCTTGTCAATGATCTCAAGGCAGCTGGGACCATAGTAACCAAGAAAACAATTGGTAACACACTACGCCGTGAAGAACTGAAATCCTGCAGCGCCCACAAGGTCCCCCTGCTCAAGAAAGCACATATACAGGGCCGTCTGAAGTTTGCCAATGAACATCTGAATGATTAAGAGGAGAACTGGGTGAAAGTGTTGTGGTCAGATGAGACCAAAATCGAGCTCTTTGGCATCAACTCAACTCGCCGTGTTTGGAGGAGGAGGAATGCTGCCTATGACCCCAAGAACATCATCCCCACCGTCAAACATGGAGGTGGAAACATTATGCTTTGGGGGTGTTTTTCTGCTAAGGGGACAGGACAACTTCACCTCATCAAAGGGATGATGGACGGGGCCATGTACCGTGAAATCTTGGGTGAGAACCTCCTTCCCTCAGCCAGGGCATTGAAAATGGGTTGTGGATGGGTTTTCCAGCATGACAATGACCCAAAACACACGGCCAAGGCAACAAAGGAGTGGCTCAAGAAGAAGCACATTAAGGTCCTGGAGTGGCCTAGCCAGTCTCCAGACCTTAATCCCATAGAAAATCTGTGGAGGGAGCTGAAGGTTCGAGTTGCCAAACGTCAGCCTCGAAACCTTAATGACTTGGAGAACATCTGCAAAGAGGAGTGGAACAAAATCCCTCCTGAGATGTGTGCAAACCTGGTGGCCAACTACAATAAACGTCTGACCTCTGTGATTGCCAAGAAGGGTTTTGCCACCAAGTAGTAAGTCATGTTTTGCAGAGGGGTCAAATACTTATTTCCCTCATTAAAATGCAAATCAATTTATAACAATTTTTACATGCATTTTTCTGGATTCTTTTGTTGTTATTCTGTCTCTCACTGTTCAAATAAACCTACCATTACAATTATAGATTGATCATGTCTTTGTCAGTGGGCATACGTACAAAATCAGCAGGGGATCAAATACTTTTTTCCCTCACTGTATGTCGCACATGCAGCTAACAAAAACATAAGGAAATGTCTGCTCTACCCAAAATTACAACCAAATAATTGCAGCCTTACCGCAAAAGTGGAAGAGGAAAGTGGAAGGGGGAGAAAGTAAGGAACTTGTCTGTCGGCCTTGCATTAAAGAACATAATTGGTTAAGGAAAACTGTGATAAATAAAAAAGTATATCTGTTTCACTTAAGGACCAAAGGATTGACAGCCGTCCCATATAGATTTCAAAATAGTTGGGAAGAGATCTTTGACGTACCGATCCCATGGCATAGTGTTTATGAACTGACACGCAAAACGACACCGGATTCAAAATTAGAATTTTTCAATTTAAATTATTATATAAAATTCTTGCTACCAATAGAATGTTATTTATATGGGGGATACAATCTTCCCAGCTCTGCAGATTTTGCTGAGAAGAGACAGAATCCTTAGATCATTTGTTTTGGTTCTGTCCATTTGTAGCTTGTTTTTGGACACAGGTCCAGGAATGGCTAAAGGATTGCAATATTTACCTGGAGCTAATCTTGCAGATAGCATTACTAGGTAATCTGAAAAGTCATAGTCAATCGATCAATAATATAATAATACTTTTAGCAAAAATGTTTATTTTTAATTCACAATCTGTAGAAGCAATGAGAATAGAAAGGTTCAGAACTTTTGTAAAACATCACAGTACGGTTGAAATATATGTGGCAAATAGAGATCCTATATGGATGGTGTTAAGAGATAGATGGGAAGTATTGAATAGAGTTGAAGGATGGGACTAATAACAAATAACAACAAATAATAACAAAGATAGCTAATAATGTAAACATACTGTGTCCATAATAAGTATATAGGTTGTATGTTGGGAGCTTCTGGGAAAGAGCACAGTTAGAAAGATATGGACATCATGAAAATGATTGGAGAGGTTGAGAGTAGAAGTAGTTCAGGAGCAGAAAAAATAAATAATAATCATAAATATATATATATATAATATAATTATTGTAAAATGAACTGTGTCCATAAGGTGTAGATAGTAAGTATAGACCGGAAGTAGAGGCCTGGGCATTGTTGTTCACTAATTTACTCCAAGTAGGGAAAGGATGGCGGGGTTGAAAAGTAATAAAGGGTTTTAAAAAATAAATAAAAATAGTAATAAAAAACGGTGGTCAACTTTACTCTCAATAACAATGTCTTTAGACTGTGGCGTTAACACAGGTGTAGGCATTTGAGTAGCCTGTGTCACAGTCTTGTCACATACTTGTGTGGGTGCAGCTGATTCAGTGTCCTGAGAACGTGACTGTGAGCCCCTAGGTGACGACTGCTGGGTCAGGGTGTCACCCAGTAACAGTTCTGGACCACGGTTTTGGACCACGTTTTTGTTGGTGTGGCTTTACTCAACAGTAACTGATCTGTGTGCCTTTTCCAGATGACATTCTATGCTGTCTTAACAGTGTAGGATACAGGACCAGTCTGAGCAATGACTGTAGCAGGAACCCACTTTGGTTCGTTGAGGTAGTTCCTGGCTAAGACAATTTATCTTGGATTGATCTTGGAAAGCGCTGTCCTTTGCGCTCAGTTCACGACATTTGACTCTCCTGTTGACTCTCCTGTTGACGTCGCAATGTCTCTTTTACGTTTGAGAAGATCGAAGCTTGTGTGTAGCTCTCTCTTCATGAGTAGCGAGGCAGGCAAAGCCGTTTGTGGTTGCATGAGGAATGTTCCTGTAGGATAGAAGGAAGCTGTTCAAGAGTTGGTGCAGCATCCCTTGACCCTGAGATGCTTTCAATGCATGTTTCATGGTCTGTACCAGGGGTTGGAACGTGTTCAGGGAACAGAACCGAAAACCGGAAAATAATGACATTTTTCAAGGAACAGAAATGGAACCTGGAATGAAGGTGATCCATACTGTTCCGGAACAGAAGCGTTATTTTAAAAGCATGGGACCCA